TCTTTTTTTCCCATAAATAACAAACCAAACGTGTCCCTAAAGCTCCTATAAATAAATCTCCTGAAAAACTTGGAAATTTATTGTAAAGGACAGGAGAAACAATGATTTTTTTCTCTTAAAAATACCCAAAAAAGCATATTAATGTTCAGATTAGTTTATTATAATTATAAATTACTCATTTAGCTTTAAACTAGCCTGACAGGAGTCGATTTGATGCTTAAATCTGTAAGCAGAGAGAAGGAAGCGGAGCCCTAAAATCCAAACATGTTAAAGTAATTTAAAGTCTTATTAACTCTTACTGGGAGGAACACAACACACTGATATCAGATCAACTTTGATTTTTGAAAACTTTGTAATCACAAGAAAAGAAAATACTTGTAATAATTCAAAGAAATCCTTAAAGTTTTAAAGAAAAGGACGAACTCAGATTCTGTAGGAGCTTAAAATCAGACCTGTTCCTGATATGAAGGCAACATAGTGGATGTCAGCTACATCCAAATACCATCTTTTCTACTTTTATTCAAGCTAAGTCTCTTTTTTTCTGTAAATAACAAACCAAACGTGTCCCTAAAGCTCCTGGAAATCACCATTCTGCAGGTTCTGCACCTGAAAAGCTCAGAAATCTAATGTAAAGAACAGGAGAAACAATTATATTTTCTCTACAAAATACCCAAAGAAAGCCTCTTAATGTTCAGATTATCTTATTATAATTCTAAATGAGTCATTTAGCTTTAAAAGCAGCCTGACAGGAGTCGTTTTAAAGCTTAAATCTGTTAGCAGAGAGAAGGAATGGGAGCTCTAAAATCCAAACATGTTAAAGTCATGTAAAGTCTAAAGTTCCTGTAAATAAATATCCTGAAAAACTTGGAAATTTAATGTAAAGGACAAGAGAAACAATTATTATTTCCTCTAAAAATAACCAAATAAAGCACCTTAATGTTCAGATTAGTTTATTATAATTCTAAATTACAGATTTATCTTTAAAAGCAGCCTGACAGGAGTCGGTTTGATGCTTAAATCTTAAACAGAGAGCAGGAATCGGAGCCCTTTTGGCCCTGAAATGTAACCGGCTCCCGGCTGCTCTGCTGTGAATATTTCATGTGCCTGATGAGACCGGAGAGTCAAAATGGCCGCCGTTGGCTCTGGATGTTGTGGAACCGGTTTGCTGTTCTTCCCTCTGATTACACGCCCCGTTTGCCCCCCTCAGGCCCTACATGTCCATCGGCTCTCTGCGGGATCAGGTGATCTACCCGGACTCCCTGGAGGACATGGCCGCCCGGGGCCTGACCGATAAGGACCTGGACGCCATCTTGGAAATCGTCAACCTCAATCACATAGTGACCCGAGAGGGAGGTAGGAGGCCTTAAGACACTCCTCCTTCCTCATGTTTGGCTCCGTTTGCTCACTTTCAGGCAGAAAATGTCAAGTCAAGTTAAGTCAAGTCAAACTTTATTTATATAGCACATTTGAAATAACCAATGTTGCCAAAGTGCTGTACATAAAAAGCATGTATATGTGATTTTAATGTATAAATAAATAAATAAATAAATAAATAAATAAATAAATAAATAAATAAAAATAAATAAATGAAAAAGGTAAAAAAGGTAAAAAGGTGCTCTACCTCAACTTAAGGTTAAAATGTTAAAAGCCATGTCGAATAAATGGGTTTTTAAACAGGACTTAAACACCTCTATGGTCTGGGTAGCTCTTATATTAAAAGGCAAGCTATTCCAGAGCCTGAAACAAGGCTGAAATCAAAATTTCTACCATATTTAAAGCCCAAATATGAAAATGGACATTTTAAATTAAAAATATAATTTCTGATTATATGATTTATAAATCTAAATACATCTAAATGTAAATAATGGTTCATAATATTAAATCATAATATTAAATTACATATAATTTCTGATTATATGGTTTATAAATCTAGATACATCTAAATGTTATATCTAAATATTGATTGTAATTATGAATGTTATATCTAAATGTAAATAATAGTTCTTAATATTAAATCAGAATAATAAGTCAGAATATTATGTGAACTCTGAATATTTTATTTGAGTGTATTATTTTTAAATGTAAAAACAAAAAAAATCTATTTCTACTATTTCTAAGCTCGTTATAGACGTTTTGGTTGTCATTGTTATTAATCTTCATCTTAAATGATAAGAACTGAAAATAGCAGAACGCTGGTTTCTGATTGGCCGCCCCCGGCGGGTCGGTACATTATCCAGCTCTTAGTGAGTGAGTGGAGCTGCTAACAAACAGGCCTTTGTTCCGCAGGAGGAGGAAAACAAACCAGGAGGAAACAAACCAGCCGATGAAAGGAGAGGAGGAAACGCCTCCTATAGAGGGAGGAGGGAGGAAACGCCTCCTCCTCCTAAAGGAGGAAACGCCTCCTATAGAGGGAGGAGGGAGGAAACGCCTCCTCCCAGAGGGGGAAATGCCTCCTCTGGAAGGAGGCGTTTCCTACTGGAAGAAGGAAAACGCCTCCTCCCATAGGAGGAAACGACGCTTCCTCTGGAAGGAAGCGTTTTCTCCCTCCATATGAGGAAACGCCTCCTCTGGGAGGGAGGAAACGCCTCCTCTGGAAGGAGGATACCCCTCCCTGGAATGTGGCGTTTCCTCCTTCCAGAGGAGGCGTATCCTCCTCTGGGAGGAGGCGTTTCCTCCCTCTATAGGAGACATTTCCTCCTCTGAGAGGAGGCGTTTCCTCATATGGAGGGAGAAAACGATTCCTCTGGAAGGAGGAAACGTTTCCTCCTATATGAGGAGGCGTTTCCTCCCTCTATAGGAGGCGTTTCCTCATCTGTAAGGAAGCATTTCTTCCTTCCAGAGGAGGCGTTTCCTCTTCTGAGAGGAGGCGTTTCCTCCTCTAGAAGGAGGCGTTTCCTCCTTTAGGAAGAGGCGTTTCCTCCAACTAGAGGAGGCGTTTCCTCCTCTGGAAGGAGGCGTTTCCTCCTCTGGTTCCCCTTCTGGAAGGAGGCGTTTCCTCCTTTAGGAGGCGTGTCCTCCTCTGGTTCCTCTTCTGGAAGGAGGCGTTTCCTCCTCTGGTTCCTCCTCTGGAAGGAGGTGTTTCCTCCTCTGGAAGGAGGCATTTCCTCCTCTGGTATCTCCTCTGGTAGGAGACGTTTCCTCCTCTGGTTCCTCCTCCCAGAGGAGGCGTGTCCTCCTTTAGGAAGAGGTGTTTCCTCCCTCTATAGGAGACGTTTCCTCCTCTGGGAGGAGGCGTTTCCTCCTTTAGGAGGAGGCGTTTCCTCCTCTGGTTCCTCCTCTAGAA